GTGGGTATTCCGAAGTTCAAAACCGATGGGATTTAGAGGATGAAAAGAGAGATCTGTGGAACGGAACGGCAAGAGCTTCGTTTGCATCATGCGGCGCTGTCGGAATAATGCAGATCCATTAAAGGCTGGCATTTGTTTGCCTGTAAAATTATGCATTTAGCGGGTCAAGCGCAAAATGTCGTGTCTTGGAGGCACGCCGAGGAATTAGCCATGGCAATTGCACGGGTTAACGAAATAAGTACCGCTTGACCTCCCTTTCTCTCTCTCCTTGTTCGTGGTTATCGTCGACAAAATTTGTCTGTAAAACAAATCTGTCAACGAATGTATAATTATAGCAATTGTAACAATTTAATTATAATTCGCTTTGAAAATTATATTAGTGTGGATAAATTAAGGCTTTTAAATTTCCATTGATAAATTTGAAAAAATAATCAAAATCGGCGTTTACGGCAGAAAGCTATAACCTCTGTTTCGGAAAAGTGATTTTGCCAGAAACAAGTGCACTTCAAAATTAATAAAAATGACAAATAAAGGAAAATTAAATTATTATTTAAATATAATTTTGAAAAGACCGTTATTATTGATGTATTTGTGAGTTGCATAAGTTTCGGAAATATATTTATTTTGATTTAGTGGACTGAATTACCGTCACCTAAATTACCATTTCTGCATATAAATGGTTTAATCATTTAACGCTTAGGTAGCAATCAGTATTGTTTAACATAATGGAGTTCGAAATACATGTATGTAAATCATAATTTGGGTTAATTCGGGTATCGTGAACGCACTTCTCGTACTGACCACAGGGCACATTACCAACTGACATTTACAGTTGCAATCAATTGTATGTATAGTGTTAAAACGTTCCCTTCACTGTGGATATTTTACTTAGCACCAAAATTAACCCATTTGTTACTAGCGTACTCTAATTGAGCGTAAACTCTTGTTTTATTAAAGAGAGCTATTTCAAGTAACACCGATAGTTGAATATTTTATCATTCAACCTACATATTCCATAAATCTATTCTTGACATTTCCGTTCCAAGTTCCAAGATCGTAAACTATTTTAATTAACATTATAAATTTAAAATATATATCCAAAATAAAAGTTAAATTAAGATATTTCTCGCGCGCTGGTAAGCACTCGATAATACTTCCAAAAATAAAAAACAAAATTATGTCGGATCTCACAATAAGTTATATGAATAAAAACATTCAAATAATTATATGTATTATATGTATAATTATATGTTAATAATATATGTTAATTAACATTAGCAATAGAGAATGACACAAATATTGATTTTTTAAAATAAGAATATGAAGAAAAAGCAGAAATACATTTGGAATAAATAATCTTTAATATTGCAACTCTTGGAAAATATAGAAGCGATGTGACCAACTACCAAAATCGATTATCCTTACTTTTTTAGTTAATTTTAAAACTCATCGATTAAAAATATATTCTGAAATAAAAACTAAATTAAGATATTATTTTTCACGCGACAGATAGGTCGCTCGATAAAAAAAATTGATAAAAAATATATATTTATAGAAAACGTATTTCTAAAATGCTATGATGGACAATGGGTTAATTCATAATATAGTCGGATGCTCCACTATCCAGTTTATATCGTTCAAAACTTTAAATAAATAAAAGCGAAAATGTTTCTGAGTTTCGCTTATATAACCGATTAATTTGTAATCACTTGATACCGCTACAGCCAGGTTGTTGTCTGCGTTCGTTACGCGCGAGAATACGCTCGCCGCTCCACAGATTTCGGATATGAGGGCTATTTGTAAGTGGATGAGAGTTACGGTAATTCCATCGCCGAGTTTGGAATCGATGCGGGCGAGAGTTAAGTATTTAAGACGCTGTTAAAGTTTCACGGACTTTCCCGTGGACTTGCTGCTCAGGCTCTTTTGAAGTGGGCAGCTGCAAGAGGCTCTGCTATATATAAAACACGATCAGGACACTAGTCAGATACGCTTGGAAAATTCTTCTAAATATTTGATCGCGCCCGAGCCAGTCTAGATTTTACAGGCCGCACAATAATCCTCACGGTGTACGCTCTCAGCTAACTCAATTCCCCTCTTTCCCTCCTTGTACTCTAATAACTCGACGAAAATTAAGCTTATTATTGTTATCCCTGCTCTCAATCCGCGCACTACTGACTTCCCTTGCGCGCGCGTAGGATTAAATTTGTCTAACTTCGGCCGAGAGCCGCATATTCTTTCCGTCTAAGCAAAATAATTGACGTTGACTTAATAAATTAAGAGAAAGTACAGCAGAATGCTTGCCTGTCAGCAAATTGAGAGGTAAATAATATTTTGAAATAATTTAGATATTTCTTTTAGAAGTACTCGTTACGCTGTTCCCTATTGATTCAATATTATAATGAGTTTTTCATGCTAATAATCATACAATAATAATTTATTATCATGATATATTATTAAAAATTATCTTAAGAGACTCTACATTAGCAACTATATTGAATTGTGATGTCAGCTATATTGAATTTTGATGTGGTAACGAAATTTTTTCGCTACCATATTAAAATAACTTTTTTGACATTCCACAACTCGCATGTGAAGCAATAAACTCATAAATTATTAAACATTTTTGGTTTCAAAATAGATAAATAACTATCATAATTAATTAACTGTTACGAAATCTATATTACTGGAAACGTAGAACTTGGGGAGAGAGAGAGAGAGAGAGAGAGAGAGAGAAGAAAAAAGAGAGTAAAAATCTATCAAGTCTATTCTTTTAATTCTATGCAAAAAAATTAAGTTATTTCAAGGATTGCCGCAATAAAATATTTATGAGCTCTGAAATATGCATGACTTCTTGTTTGTGATGTTAATAATAAAAAATAAATGTAATCGATTTAAAACCTTATGGCGTAGTGAAGTTTGTTTTTCGCATTAAATTGACGCAATAATGCACGCAATATTGCGTTTTATTCTGATATTATTATTTTATGGCATTATACGTACATCACATAGCTGTCATATATAATACAGCAAAAATTGAATTTATTTAATTAATATTGATACATGTAATCTAATTTTTAAATGTCTCTTTTATACCTCCAATAAATAGTAGATTAAAAAATAAAATTAATCAAAAAGTGCTTCCCAATTATCTCTGCGATTATTATTCCACGATTAGCATAGCAATTACCTAGCAATGTCTTAAATTAAAAAATTTCTCTTTGCTCTCTTAAAAAAAAAATTAATCTTTATAGCTCAAATCTATATCATTCTCAGCATTTTGCACATGCAATATCTATTGATTTTTTAATACTTTCATATACATACTTCATATACATACTTTGATATAAAGTATCGTCAACTGAGAAGTAATACTGACGAAAATGGAAAGTTTATACAAGATGTATTGCAACGAATTTAGATATTATAAACGCCGAATATAAACGAGCCGCACAAGCGGATCCCCTCTTTCCCACAGTTTATAGCAGCCTTTGGCTAACGTACTACAACAGTCATCCTCAGTCATCTCGCGCAGAACGTTCGCAACGGAAGGCGGTCGGAAATTAGAGAAATCAATTGATCGTGACTGAAATTGTTGGTGCATAGTAATTGACATTTTATTATTATCTCGCGACTCTCCGCACAAATGTATCCTCTTGTGAGAAATAATTACTGCACGGAACAATTATTTATTTCTCGACAATTAAATTATGTGAAACAGTGTTTAATAATAATAATAATGTTAGTTAATTACAAATCAATAAAGGACTCAGTTGAATTCGAAAAAGTTCTGTATTGCTGTGTTAACACGTTTACGTTTGAATTACGGAACGTTTTTAATTGCGGCGCGATAACCCCCACAGGATTATGATAATATATTTACGCGCTACGGCTAAAGCCATGAATTTTATTTACCCGATAAGAGAATACTTATGAAACATTAACAAATTGAAAACGTATTTTAATGATCTTTCGCAAATATACGCAAATATATGCGTGCACATAAAACCCAAATTTTTATTTTACTTTTCTTGAATTTTAAAAATCATTATTCACGTCTGATAATTGATACATTAACAGAATAATGATATGTTATGCTTACATTACCGATTTATCGGTATGCAATATTTTATCGGCAAAGTGGAAAAGTATAGACAAGCATTGCTGGTACAACCCGAAGCGACTTTTCAACTGTACAAATCCGCGGCAGTTGTTTCGAGAACGAAAAAAGTATTACGACTACAGCAGACTAACAGGACCGGTAGGGGCATAAAAAAACAAGAAACAAGCTTTCGCACCAACCGAAAACCGTAAAATGCACCGTAAAGCGCGTTACTGCGGGCCATTTAGAAAGATCGATCGATCCCGTGAACACTTTCAGAATGATCGATGCATCGTCCCAGTATGCCGGTTCCTTTTTCCAAAATAGAAGACTGAAATCGTTGCCTGTGCAGAGATAAATCACCGATTTTCTCCAACAGTGTGTATTGAAAAATACGAGAATCATAAATTGTAGTAATCTCGCTAGTGTACAAAGTTTTCGGAAGCGCTGCATTATTTGATTCCGCGCATATATTTAAAAATCATCTTTTTATATCCGTCTCAGACTCGGATATCGACTAATGTTATAAGGTTTGAGTGTAATAATCGATTCTTCATTAAAAAGCTAGACGTCGCGAGTCAAGAATCGTGAAATCTCTCAATTGCAATCTGATATGCAATTTACTTTGCTTATCCCGATACGATAAATCGATAATATTCTTCCTACTGAGAACCCTCTTAATATAAAAATACAGTAATTAAAATACTCCATTTCTTTATATCGTATTTATATATTTTTTTTAAATCTGATAGTTTATAATAAAAGTGCTTTAATGGGAACTTGCAAATAGTGTTCCTTACAAGAGGAAGAAAGGAAGAAGCAAAAACGAAACTCGTGAAACAAGACAATGAACCTTATATGTCGTACGATAGTCTATTATTTCCTGGTTATTTATTTAAAGGGCCTACTACAATCTTTGAAGCTATATTCCGGCCATCCTCCGGATCTTGTAAAATGCTCTGCTGACTTTGCCGTAAGTATACCTCTTTTTTTACTACACAATTCTCAATACATAAGAGAAATATATATAGAAGATATATTATAATCTCTAATATATGAATATATAATAAAAAGAAATGTTTATTATATATTCAGAGATGTAATTATTATATCTCATCACAATTTGGAAGCTGAATTGAAACAAATATCATATTACTGGTCAAACAAATGAATATAATGAAATAATTTTGGAGGAATTTATATAAGTATAATTATTCCTATCCGTTTGCATATTTAATATATGGTTTACATTTATGTCATCTAACAATTTTTAATTATTCTCTACAACATATCTCTGTAATATATTATTTTATATTTTATTTTATGAAAATACGGTGCACTATATTCCTCATATTTTTATTCACTTAACAATGAAATATTTATAAATATAATTATTAAATTTTAAAAAACAACTTCAAAATTAATTAAAAAATTAAATTATCTTCTCTATTTGCCGATCTGAAAAGTTCGTTTAAATCCTAAAAATTCGATTTCCCAATTGTTTTGTAATTTTAATTCAAAAGCAGTTAGTGCCTCGATATTTTTATGCTGTAGGAAAAGTCTATTTCAAACTAGTTCAAGAATTCGTGGATGAAAAGTACTATAAATATTCTGAGACACCATGTCTTTCCTTAAAATGTAATAAAATATAAAATATTGTAATATTGCACATTATAAAAAAACACAAATTTGCCAATTATACTGGTCGCAACAAAAATCTATTAGCAAATAAAGGTTCATACGATATTTGATATCGGTAAGGATGCGCGCAACGCTACTTTGTCGCTCGATTATGTCCGTGATTACCGTGGAGGATATCCTCGACAATTTTCTGGCTCCTCCATAGCTCACCTGTGCTGCTACGTGGGGTCGACGAGTACCCCTTGCGGGCAGCAATGTGCCGCGAACGGATCGCGGTGAGTCAGCAACGATAAATCGAGCGATTTATGAAGCGGCACGGCCAACGACCATTCTCGAGGAATAATGTCGGGATCGATCTACGACATTGAGGCGGATCGTCAGAATTTTCAGACGCCCATCAGCCTTGTTAATTGTCTCAGATAAGAATCGAAGAGTTCTGCAGAACACAATGATTAAATCGATTCTCGATCGTAACATTGAATTATTTAGAACACAAGGCGTTAAAAAATTCTTTTAAAACGTCTGGAAAAATATTTTAAATACGTAATCCTGCAATTGCATTTAAATTTGCTAAGTAAAGCGATTTACAAATCAAATACTTTACAAAAATTTATGATTGTAATTTTTGTATCTCTATTAATAATTCTAATTAATTTATTCTACATATTATTAAATATAATGTTCACATATAGCGTGCTTCAGAAGATTAATTATTACTCGTCAAAATATCAATTATCAAATTATAAAGTAAAATGTCCTTTAAGCACTAAATTTTTTAAATATATATTTTCTCTAAATTAAAATTATTTTAAAATTTAAAATAAGCTATATCATCATTAAGCTCGAGAGTTTTAAAATATTCATAATACTTTATATAATGTCAATTATAGTATATTATCTTTGATATAGTACATTTCCTTGATAAAATATATTGTAAAGAATTCAAAATCACAGTTGTTTTTATCACATAGATTTACCAAAGTGTTCAGCAAAGCCCGTATACATTAATTATCCGCAGTATCTCTCACAATTTCCTTGATAACTTTTATCGGAGAAGGCTAATTTAATCGATCACGCAAAAAGCTGTACGGCTAATTAGTGTCACACTTTTTACACCCATTTTACGATCTAGATACGCTGTGGCCATTAACGGTATTACGAGATCACATCACAGCTCGTTACGATAAATTACTGTACCATTACACGAGAATGTGATTTGTAAATAATACTTTAACGAGAGAAATTATCAAGAAGGAGTAATCTATTGATTGTCCGTCTGATATGATAGAATGTTGCATTCAACGATAGCTACAAATTACGAAATATATTCAAAGACTATACATACGAATTTCTCATACAAATCCTGTAAGTTAATTTAAAATCATTTATTTTAATAAAAATTCGATTCTAAGTTATTTTTTTAACTAATATTAAATATCGTAGTAATTGCATTACATAAACATTATATTCAAGTAAAAAAACCTTTAAAATAAAATGTTAATTAAGAATTTATTATCTCTATTTATATTTATGAAAGTTAATTCGCGAAAGACCGTTTAATTTTAATCTCTTGCTTAACTTAAAACGGAAGTTTTTCTGGACCTATGAGAACTTTTTTCTCACTTCGTATTCTTAACGCAATGTAGAAGTTTATACATACAGTTTTTTCTTTTAGCACCATGCATATAAACAGCTTTTCCTACAAATTATATTAAAACGGCTATGTTATTCCGTTGAGAAAATTTCTCCCAGTTGTTATGTAATTTTCTTAGAAATTATGCGAAGATTTCGATAGCGCGCGCCTTGAGCGCGCCCGATATTTTGATTACATTATTACGTATAATAACGAATTCCTATGGCAAATTTTCTTCAGATTCTCTCAATATTCTCGCGCGCTCCAATGTTACCGTAATGATTTCCCAAACCCAAATACCGCGGTCTCAGATTTATCTCGATCTAAATTCGATCGTTTGTTCGTTATTCTATACTCTGCGAAATTACGAAATTGCGAAAGTAGATATCTTTCACATCTGAAGTTCATATAGAATTTAGCGGAACGACGAAGTAATGTTTATTCATACGAATATTATACGGATTACATTTTCGTGAGCACTAATACAAACGATATAAATTAATCGATCGCATTTCATTAAAATTCAAAGCCGTTGCTTAGATTGCAGCGTTTAAGATTTCGAAAAAAAGTACTATTTTATAAGCAGACGCTTTTCTTTCTCTGCATACCCGTTTATTTATCCCTTTATCGTGCATGAAACACAATTGATAATTGTGTTAATGATGCAAAAGCATTGAAGACGCTCCCTAACTGTTGCGTACTACTTTAATTTCGCGATTGCATTGCATCTTAATTAAAACTCGATAAGCACGCGAACATTTGCTACAAAATATGTGGAACATGCAACAAATTTTCACTATAGCGACTGTATATTATCTGTTGTAATATCCGTTATAGCAATGCTAAAAATAAAATTCGGTCGGTCAACAATAACTTTTTAACAACATTGTCGCGCCAGCATTAAGTTTTGCTGTTTTATGCGCTGGTATTTTTCATTGCAACCGTTCGTCAAAAACTAATTATACATACTTTTCATGGATTTAATATGCTACACAATCTACACCATCGAGAAAATATAAAAGCGACGAGCAAAGCTTCACTCAATATCTTTTAATTCCGCAGAATGAAATTTACAGATTTTATGAGCAAAGTGAAGCAAAGATATTTGTTTCTATTTATTGAACAAACGTTAAAAAAAATTAAAACAAAGATATTAGAATACTCATTTACATATATTTAATACAAATGTATATAAATAGAAAGAAGACTTGCTATTTTTGAAATTAAATTCTTCGATAAAAACAAAATCAATTAAAATTGGCTAATAATTTAAATAAAACAAAATTTATCATTATTTAATCTATAATTATATTAAAAATTTTATCATGCTATTATAGCTGCGTTATCAATCTAAAACACCGATGAAAAAAATATAAATAAAAACATGCAAACATAAAGAAATTATTTAGCAATAAAAGAAAACAATTGTTTAAAATATAAAGATAGATTAATGCCTTGCGATCTTTTAAACAAATGCTATCCTGCTTTCTGCTAAGAGCATCTGCTTCACTTTTATTTATATGATTTATTATGTGCCCATATGTTCGTAATTGTTTCACATTTCGGCCAATCATAAATAAAAGACACGGCAATTAATATAAACTAACACGTGTATATTCATGAAAGTATCGTTGTTCCTCCATCACAATCGAGTTTGGGTGCGAATCGGACGCGAGCTCTAAATAACATCAAACATTCCGGCCTTGTACGGGACCGGCATATGTGGAGAGTACAATTTGTCTGCGCCGGCATGCCGACGGGAAAAAATAGTTCCCGATTGAATTTAATGCTCCACACTGGCTGCGTACGCTCCAATCAGCTGGAATATCAAAGAGCGAGCAAGAGAACCGATAAACGATCAAGAGGACGGAGCAAATGAGAAGATGAGAATGGATGAAGAGAAAAAAGGCGCGATCGCGAAAGGCAGTATGAACAAAAAGAACGAAGAGAGAAAGAGCGCGAGAAGAAGAAAAAGAAATGTATAAACATTTCTCGTTAATTCAATAGTCGGTTATGCGATAGGGCCAGCGATCGATTAATCGTCGATCGAAGCACCTGCACGCCTACTTGTCTGCTCGATGTATCTTTCGTGAAGTACTTTCTGCTCGACCGGCGTTCAATCTTTTTTCGACTTTACGTTTTTCCACTGTCCCGCCTAATCGGCTTACTCGTAATACGAACAAACACTCGCGCTGCTTGAATGTAATTTATTGCGCTAAATGAATAATCCCGCGTCCTTATTCTCCGGTAGTTCGCAGCCGTCCATTTCATTCGCCGATATTGTCCGTTTCGATTCGTTATTCACGAGTGCGTCTCGCGTCGTACATTTTTCAGTGCGCGATTCGGAGAAACCAGGATCGCAATTATCGCGAATAATGCAGCACAAACAATTCGAGTGATGCCGGTGACGAAATGAATGAAATAAGGAAGATTTACCGCACCAATTTTTATCACGATATAATTCTCACATTTCCCCCACTACTACGATAAACTTCGCGCGCTGCTAGTTTTCAGCCAATGGTTTTGTTACAAATAAGCCAGCCGTCCAATTTATACGTGTCCCCCTTAAGGGCTCGATCCACGGTATATATCATAAATATTCCCTCTTTCCTATTCCCTCGCTCCCATCATTTTCCAATCTCTTGCCACTCGCGTTATACGGTAACGCGATAAGACCGTTTTACATGGTGACGTGAAGG